GGCAATTTCAGCAACTTCCGAAAACACGCGTGATATTAATCCTTAATTTTACGAGGAACCATGTGATTACCTATACTAATTCAGTTTGTCTGCTGTAAAACATTGACGAAGCTTACCTGTATAAAGTTTGGAGCAGGATTCTCCAGACCATGAGCCGCGCTCAGCGACAGATTCTCAGCAGGTCTGATGTAATGTTGCAGGATGAAGAAATAGAACAGGACTGTGATGACTGGGAGCGGAAGGATTAAGACTGATGCAGCGTAAGACTGCTTCAAACCTATCACTCCAAACATCAGAAGCTGAAACACCACTGTTGCTATAATCATCCTATAAAAATGAGAGAAAACTGGAATCATTACTATCCCAAAAAAGGAGTTTTGAGCATGCAGAAATATGTTATGCGTTCTCTTTAGGTCAACACACGAGATTTCAGAACTGAGGCTGGGTTCTGGTTCGAGCACTTATTAGGTTCGCCTAGGTTCTCAAGCTGCCGGTATTGATTTTCTGAAAAAAAAAATTGCAAGCGGGACTCATTGGGTTTGTTTTCTATACCTGTTAAAAACCCTAGGCCACATCATACCACCACAGCTGTAGACGGGGATGTAAACACTCAATGTCTGGTGCATCCACACAATGTAACCAAACCCAAAGTACAACGCAACGAATGGAGTTATAATGGGCGCCAGCGTGGAGTAGGACAGGCCCACGATCAGAATAAAAAGATGGTTGGCGAACTGGAAATGAATGAAATGGGACACAAAACCAATTGGTTTAATAAATAAATGAAGGAATGTGGTTCAAAGACCGTAAATCAGATCTAACGATCTCACGCTTTGAGAACTTTAGACAGTCTCTCTTCAGGATCCCACTCTTACAGAAGAAGATAAGTCATGTTTCAGGTCTCAAAGGGTCAGCATCTGACACGGTGTATTCCTCGTGTGTTTACGAGAGAATTGTGCACTATTTTGACTTGATACACGTGTTCAGGAAACAAATAGCTATAAATGAAAGACGCGTCCTTTAAATAAATTTCATTGCTAATCAATCATTATCATTTCACTGCCCTTGCAAAGCGGCAATTTACAGATAATGCCCTGTTACCCGGCGTCAACTCTGAGGAGACAAGGTTAAAGTGACGAGAACATCGCTCAAAAGCACACTTTCTCGTCCACGTTTAGCGCTTGCCCCATGTTTTGCTCTTAATGCAGCCTCTCGCGCTTGCAATAATTCGGTATTTCATGGCTATCATGTGAAACCAAACTGTTTCCACTTTACGGGGTTACCATATTTTTTTAAGTATGGGTCGTCGCTAAATCGCTTGACATGGGAGTTTAGTTACCATGCCATAGAACATAAGCAAGTAGCGGATCTTTTACCGGGATAGAGACATTGATTGGCAAATAAAAAATTTTGTGGCACCAGGTTTACGAAAAGTAGTATGTGACTTCAAAAGATCTCTGCCTTACATCTACATGTTTTATGGTTAACTTACCACTCGATCATAAAGAATTGGTGGTGGTTTCCAGGCCAACTCGTCCTCACGAGGTGTCTTTACAAGCCACTTACGCTTGATTGACACCAGAATGAGAGGCACTATGCGCAATAACTGCAGCGCATAACCAGTCAGTGTGGCCAGCATGATGAAACAAATGAAGAAGGTGGACTGCGAGGGGAGAGCTTCAGCTAAAAATGATGGAATCTGGCTTGGTTTATCTGCCATTTCTTTCAGTTTGTTTAGAGCTGAGCCAGCAAAAGTCAAGAATAGGAACTTGTTCACGAGCTGCCAATATAATAAGATATGGAGTCAGAGGGACCGGTAGTTATTTATCACGAGGGGGATGGAGGGCGGAGGATTTTGGTTGTTGATTTGTTAACTTGATGCCCCCATGAGGCTCTGTCAGTAATATTTTTCTAACCTCCCATCCCCCCTCTAATTAGCAATCTATTTTTCTATGGCCCCCCTTTCTTCTCTGATGACGACTGTTCCCCCTTCCGTTCCATGTACCATGTGATCCATAAACCGAGGGACCCCCCAGAATCCTTCACCCACCCCACCCCCCTCATTTAGTAATTGTTCAGGTAAAGTTGAGTGTTCCATTGTTAAATCATATTGATTCATAGTTATTCACAACATCTAAGTTCCAAAAATATCTCTGCGAGTCCTCTTATGCCATGCAAACGAATATTATAACATAACCAAAGTAAAGCGCGCGCTCTGATTGGTCAATTTAGCAACTTCCCGCGTGCATCCATAACTCAATAGTATACACTGTGGCGTTTACCATTTGTGTTATAACATAACATTGATACATTGTAGCAAAAGAGTTTTCTTCTATTTAACAAATCTTATGTGACCAGAAAAAACAAGCGTGCGCGGAAAACTAGTCTTTGCATATGCTCACGTCAGCAGCGTACACCCATGGGCAAATGGTGGACGCTGAATTGACCAATCAGAGTACGCGCTTTACTTTGGTTATTTTGTAATATTTATTCCTAGCTTTGTTACCAATTTGATCGAGAATTTGGTTTTTTTGCTAATTATCATCAACGTCATAATAATTGGTATCTTTAATGTCAGCGTCATCATTGTTACCCTTTCATCGTCATCATCATTATTATTGCAGCCCAAAGTAGAAACATCTCTTCTGGTCAAAATTAGATAGATATCAGCTCGAGTAGATTCCAGCTTTGTTTCCATAGAAAATAGTTTGTTTGTCTAAGATACCAAGCATAAATTCAACAAATTAGAATATCATTATCGTTATCACTCCCTAGATATTGACGAGTGTCAAGAAGGAAAGGACGACTGTGACAAGACGACAACTACGTGTAGCAATTACCCAGGTCATTTCCAGTGTAAATGTAAACCGGGATGCGAGTGGAAGGATCACTCATCTTGTAAACGTATGTGATATTTTCCAGAAAGCATCACAAGAAAATGGTGGGACAAAGAGGGAGGCTTCTCGTCCTTGATTTGACAATTTTACTTAAGTTATTTATAGATGTCTCTCTAACAAAAGTTTGTTATCGAAGGCGTCCGCACGAAGGTTGAAGTCGAACCGGATGTCAAAACCTTAAAAAAAATGAGGGATAACGAGGATATTGATTTGGGAAAACAGACATCCGTTGCTGTCTGAAACTAAAAACAGTTTGCTAAAATCAACGTATTTCAGTCAATGTCGTATTTGTATCTTTCTGTCTCCTCGTTCTCTGCCGGAAACAAGTATTTTCGAAGCATCATAACATTATTCACGGCATTTACAATATTTTCACAGTGTGTTAAGAGTTGTTCCTTTGTTTTGCTGTCTACTGTTTGACACACCTTAATCGTCAGAATATCGTCTCCTTCCCCCTCCCCCCTCCCCTGCGTCATTCCTCCAGTCCTTCGGCTTTATCATCAATTCGTGGTTTTCCTTCGGTGGATTCATTGGTTTGTATCTCAATTTCATCAACCTTTTTTTATGCATTCAGTCCTTCAGGCAAAGCATGCTTCCACTTCAGCGCCGACAGACACTCTCATGGTCAATTTCATCCTGCAAGATGCACAAAAAAGACAAAAATGCAAAAAAGATGCGAAAGATGCAAAAAGGAGAAAAAGGACAAAATAAATGAGGACACCTGCAAAGTTGTCTGCAATCATGGTTATGTTCTCCACCAGCCAGCTGCTGAGATCACAACTTGCGGCAAAGATGGGCTCTGGGTTTCTGGTCTAACATATTGCATAGGGAGGTCTGTGTTAAAACGTAAACTTCAACACTGAAGACGAAAATCTACTCAATATCACTGATAACGTTGATGAAAATATCTTGCTGAACTTAAATAGGAAGACCATGTCCATTATTAAAAGACATACCAAATGGATCTGTGCAAGCCGGCTTCAAACTATACCTTGATGCCTCCACTAGTTATGGAGGTCGTTGCAATTACTGGTGTAATTCTGGGTACGATCTGAAGGGAGTCAGCTACAGAAACTGTCAGGCGGATGGTACATGGAGTGGAACTGAACCGATCTGTGAAAAAAGCCATCCGAGTAAGTTATATCAACATCACTTACATTAAGTAGGGACTTTCTTCTCATGTGGTCACTATGTCCATTTCAATGGCTATTCCGAGCTTCCTCACGGTCCGGAAATATTTTCCCCGTCTGAGCTTTAGATTCTTATAGCTTCGCTATGAAGGTACCTTACCGTCCCCTCTACCTCTGCTTCTGTGTTATGAAGCAACATGGAGGGAACACCATTATCTGCAGTAGGAGAGGAGCGCGAATAAATGAGGCTAGGAGGGTTCTGAGCGCAGCCTGAAGAATCCACCACTTCTCTAAATGGCCAGAAGGTGATTTAAGCAATATGAGAGCAATACTCCTGCTAAAATATGTGACACTAATACATCTGGTAGTTATGATTTGGAGATAATATTAATTAACCTCTCTTTGGATAAAGGACACGATGTTTTTTTTTCTGCTCACTTCTTCATAAAAACTTTGCATCGTAATGAAAGAAATATTTCATGAGATATGTATGAAAAATTAATCCACAGGGTCCCCCCAAATCACTAAACTTGAGCCGGAAGACGTTGCTTCAGCCAGTGCAGGTGGGAACGTGGCGTTGAAATGTTTCTCTGACGGAGAACCAACGCCTTCTGTTTACTGTTTACTGGGAGTATTTATCTAATAGTAAAGGTAAGTAGCTGAGAACTATTGGTATCCATCCATGAGCCTCCTTGAAAAACAGCGTCTTTCCTAACCTTGGGAAGGTCTAGTTTTTCACATGGTTTTGCCGTAACAAAATGAACAAGGACGACGTGTTTTGCGCAAATCTGCCTACGAAGCGTCACGTTCTTAAATTCATATTTCTCAGCAATACGCCTTCCTTTTGTCGTATATATCCTAGCATTATATCTTTCATTTGATGTTTTTTGGAATGAGACTCCTTGTGGGCAATTGGTGGTGTAGATGGATCCATGACAAATAAAGATTGGTACAAAGACCTGTTGTCTTCAACATGTGTGTTTGATGATAAATTTTCTTTGCTCGCAAATTTTCTCCAATGAGTTTTGTTGTTATAGATAGATGCTTTTATATCATGAATCTCTTGCAAATTCAGGTCACATAAATTTTTTCCCCATTACAAAGGTAAGACAATGATGATAGATATTTCCTTATCCCATACAACTGACTAATAGTGAAGATGGCAACTGTACACCGTAGGTTCCAAAACTCAAGTGCCAATCAAAAACAAGGTAATCCCATAGGAACACAGCTGACCATCACCAATGCAGACTCATCAGATAGCGGAAGCTACTCGTGCATGTCGGCTAACACACACGGTCAAGTAACACGTGCTGTTCAACTAACTGTTACAAAATCATCTTTTAGGAGAGAAACGACACGAAAGAACGGTAAGGTTAAGCAAGCTTAACGGGTAATATGCATTAGAAACAGATTCCTCATCTGAAATGAGGCTTTGGCTTACCTCTATAGATCTACATACCATTTAAGTTTTACTTACTACATTTAACTGAAAGAGTTACTCCAAGCTCTTTCACTTAATTCCTGAAACAACGAATGCTATAGCAGAAATTGTTTCTTTTATCAGTGCTCTTATTCTAATAATTTAGGTGCCCAAGTACCCTAACATGTTGCTTAATTTAAAAAAATTCCTCGATCCTTCCCATCACTGTGAGGATAAAAAGCCCTCAAAATTGAACTGAACAAGATTCAGTGATGAAGAGCGTTAAATTGATATTCCGTAGTTTTTTATTCAATATCTTGATTTCATTAACATGTCTTTGATAGTATTAGCACTGATCTACTATAAAGTTAAATGTCGTCTTGGTAAAAATGATATGTTTTTTTACATATTCAGAGATGGTAAAAACTGGCCTGTTTCCAAGGGCTGTAGGTAAGATGTGATGCCGCTCCAGTCACCGAGAAGCTACTTAAGTGTACCACTGGAGAAGGTTTATTTAGCTAAGTTTATTCTTTAAAGAAGTTGGCTGTAGCAAAATGGATTTAGCTCCTTTCAGCTCACTGAGAAAATTATCGAACTGATGGAATCAAATAAATTGTTTTGTTGAGCCATTTACGTAACTCCGAGGTGTAAGGTGTAAGTGGAAATCCCTAGGCTACAGATAATAACAGATAATATAGAAGAAAGAGTCCATACGGTGTTAGTTGGAATATGGAATTATCCAAACTAAGTCCACCGAAAATTGATGAGCACAGCACATATTTGGTTTTATTTATATCTCAGAGGCTAGAGGTTTGACTCGAGTTATTTCATTTCAGTTACAGGATTTGTTTAATGATTTATCGATGTTGCAAGATTTTTCGTTGATATTTACCACTGTTATGTATCCTTCCTCATCTTTTTTTGATAGATCAGTGCCCCGCAGGTAAATTTAGTTCGAATGGGTTGGGTTCCCTCTGTCGAGTCTGCCCAAAAATACTTACCAGGACCAACCGGGAGAGACTGCGTGTAAAAACTGTGAGCATGGGGCCAAGACTTTGCAATTAGCTGCGACGTCCGCAGTGGCATGTGGCGGTAAGAGAGAATTAAACTTAACCAGGTCCAATGTACTCGTGAATAGAAAGGCGCTTATAAATGAAATGAATGCGAACAGTAAATTTGTATTTATCTTTTCAGTTTCTCCGTTGATAACAAGCGTAAACTCCAGTGTAAACACGAGCAGTCTAGAGGCTGTGCTCGACTGCTACGCGCACGAATCACCAACGCCACTTATTGATTGGAATTTTCTGGAGGACGTCCCAAGTGAGTCATACCCATTGCTTTTGTCATTCAGGAATTTTTCCATTAGTTTATTTACCATGTTGTTATTAGAAAGCATCAATAACACATGCGTTAGTCTTTTTCCTTGCGAGCTTTATTTCAAAAAGAGTCAGTAGCACAAAGTTCAAATAAGGCAACGATCCTTACAGGTGAGAAACAAATCAGGCTTCTACGAGATTCAAACCTATGCCTCTTCGTTCCTCCCCGTAAACACTTTGTGATATGAGTTTTATATGGATATCTTCTACCATTTCTTTTTCTTTTCTCTTTTATCATAATTTTTTCATAGGCATATTGGCCATCATTGTCATCACCATTATTATTGAAATAATTTCAAACAAGTTTTTCGCCACCTACGCGACTAGTTTTTATTCGCACGTTCTTTTGTCACTTCGAATCTTAGTTCATTCCTTGACTGTTCGCAAAAAAGATACGATGACCATTCTTACCATTTTTAGGTGACTTCCTTAGCATTCCAAAGCTCGTGCAGTTGGTGAACAGCAAAGGAAAACCGAATGGTACTCGCATAGTTATAAGGAAAGTCACAAAACACAACACATGTCGGTACGAGTGTACAGCGGTCAACCAGTTTGGCCAGGACAAGGAAATCCTTGAATTGAAAGTGCAGTTATGGTGATGTAAGTTTCAATGGCTCTAGATCTGTCTCTCCATTTCGAGATAACCTTTGCTCGTATTCGATCACGTACTTGTGTAGCAGCGTTAGTATTTAAGCTAAAATTGTGTGATATATAATCTTAGCTCCAAGTTTTACCTCATGATACACATGCCATCGGGCAATACACCTTTTTTCAGGAGCTACCGTCTATGTGTAAGTCATCCGGGGCTAAACGAGGTTTAAGCGGATCTCTAATCGGTAATCTCGCGCCATTCATAATTTTTCAACTTTTGATTCACCTTTCCATTTAAATCAAATGTATTGACCTCGCAGTTAGATAATCCAGTTAATGCAAACGAAGCCTACTCAAATTCAATGACTTTTGTTTCAATATTTTAAATACCCTTTCAGATTCGCCATTGCTGGGAGATTTGAAGATGCCAGACTAAGTTCTTTTGATGCCAGCATATTTGGATAGTTGTGTAACTTCTCTTGAGTAAAAATTTAAAATAAAATAGAGAAACGTTTTGATCTTAAGCCGTTTGATATTTTCAAGTGAAATCTGATCAAAGACTTCTCCAGTACATTGGTGACATGTCTATTTAATGATATCTATATATATAAGATAGTACGCGCAATCTCATTGGTCGATTGGTGTAAAGACTTCTTCAGGCGTTTAATTCTCGGACTTCTAAGTAAAGAATATCACGAATTGAATTGAACTTAGAAATTCTCTGAGAAACCTCGGCGAACTTCGCTAAACACGTACGTCCAAAAAACTTTCTCTTTTGTGCGAACTTCGCGGTCAACTAAAACTATCTCGTACAAAAAAGGATATTAACACAAAACATTAATATTCTAGAATACATGATATTTCTAAAAGCATAGTTATTTCTCAATAGTGCGTGCACGTGCTATGCGTACTACGATGACACAATAGACACTACAACAGGTATGTTCAGATGAGAATATGTAGACACGGATGTTACGTCACTCTTTCTATTAAATTTAGGTGAAGACACACACTTTCTAGAGATTGATCAAATCGACTTTATTCAAATCATATATCATACCACTATTTAAAGAATACCCTTGTCGTCGATGATTAGCTTGTTCCAAAAGAAACTCATTAATTTGAATCGAAAACTGACAACGCCAAAGTCTTGTAACAATTGATTCACCACATGAAAATCCGACGAGTTTGCTGAACTCATAGTTGCAGGAAAACTTTGAACGTTGAAAGTTATTGCAATGAGCGAGATCACGAAATGGATCAAATTTGCGAGAAAAATCACGAAAAACGTCAATTTCGAAAATACGAACACGTAGAAGGGATATCGATGCTTTAAAGTATTCAGCTTTGTATGATTAAGCATCACTACGGCTAAAACTGTCAGGGAATATTTCAGAGTAAACCCGATTAGAATCGCCACGGTAAGAAAAGTTTTGGGAGATGCTACTATTAGCATAACGTCTCTAGAGAGAGCAATAATGAGAAAAAGAACTAATGTAAAAAATGAGGGAACGCATCTCAACCGGTTGAAGATTGCCTTGAGGCCGAGGAACCCTGGAATCCGTGATAACGAGGCAATGACGATGACGACGAGAATGGCCTGAGTGGTGAGCCAAAGGAGTTCAAGTTCTTCCGAGTACAGGAAAGCTGCATTTCTTTCACAAAGAAACGTTGAGGACTTCTCTCTGAAACACTTAACGCCACGAATAAAGTATAAACAAGTCCCAATCACTTGCCAACAAAGCAACAGACTGTAACATGCTGACAGGAATTTGTTCAATGGCAGCCTCATCTTTATCTTTGCCTCTCCAAACCTCGGGTTAGAATATGAGCACACTTTCAGGAGCGGCTGAACTTCCTCTTCGGGCATCGCCAAGGCAAAGAGCACTTTGAAATTACCTTCACGCAGAAATAAAATATTTTTCTCAGTATACATAAATTTAATTCTTCCAACAGTTTCACACTCCGTGGCAGCTGATCGCAAAGTTAAGGGGAGTTTTCTTCTAAAGCACTGATTCCTAATTTTTCACTGCATTGAACTTAACTGCGCAGTAGGTAGGGTTTTAGCACAGGAAGTTGGATCCAGACGCTGTCATTTATATTGTTCAAACCAGAAATATCACTTCTAATCTCATTAGTCTAATGTTTTCAATATGAAGTATGACGTCAAACGAGACATAGTCGGTATCCAGCGATTTTACATATCACTGTTTTCAAAAATATTAACACTCCAAAGTCACAAAAGTTGGGTGTCTTTCTATAGATATCTGCGACTTTTCTTTTCCCATTTGAAAGGTCCTATGAAGTTGAGCATCGTCAATAAATAGATATGTAGTTCCTTAACGAGTAATTGACCAGTTCATTCACTTTCAAAAGTATTGGTTGAATCTGACGTTTCGAAACGGTTTGCCACGATTTCAGTATTTTTAGACTCTGCCTCCATGCAATAAGAAAACTCCAGCATCCTCATTTAAAAATTAGATCTCAAATCGCTGTAGAAATAAGTATCTATTGAAGCACTGCAGTTCACGTGAGGATCGAAATAAATATGTAAGTCATAGCTGATATTGTTAGAACACAGATGAGAAGTTTTTAGTCCCAATTCTTTACCCATTCATGATATAGAGAAGAAATTTAATGTACTTCGTATACTTCTCCTGTTTACCTTTCTCCAATCGCTTACAGGTCAGGTCAGCCAAACACGGTGAAATGTTCTGAAATGTCCTTCAACTGTACGCAATAAAAAGTACCTTCTTCCCAGCTGACAATGAGTCACTGATCCGCTTGGATGAACAGAACGATTTGACGTAAGATCAATATTGCTACGCGCAGGTTCAGACCGCGGTGCAAACCGGAAAAGCAAGAAAGCCGTGTGGAAGAAAGGGAGTCTTAGACTTCGTGCAGATTAAAGAAGCAAGATAGGCAGTTTTGGAATTAGGCTTCCGTTTATTATTTCTCCGATAGCTTGCAATGTTAGGTTAGGTTTGAAGCGAGTCTGATAGTCGCAAAGTCAGTGCTTTAGTCGACTGCAACAGTCCACCAGTCAGTCTGCCAGTCAGTCTGCCAGTCATTCCTTTCAAACAATCTATTTTTCAGTCTTGTTTGTCTGTCAGTTCGTCAGTTTAAGTACAAATAACAAATCATCTGGCCAGTTAGTCTATCTTGTGAGCTGGAGAGCATGAAGAATAGAAAACAACGTCCCGAATTTGTCGTGCATTTTTAATGAAGCAGGATATTGTTGTATCATAAACTCACTGTTGTATGCTAGAAGAAAATGAATGCAGCAGCTCAGATCTCTACAAAGCAGTCGACTTTAAACGTGTCTGAAAGTTTAAAGTTGTCGATGATCAAAATATGTGGGAACAATCTTTCTCACATAGGCTACTGTAATGGTAAATTTATATGTCTACCTTAAAAATAGATCTAAACACCTCCTATCGTTTGATTAATGGTTTACTCTCAGAAATAAGCCGGCATAGATATTACCCTTCAGAGTACAGTCACTTCTTCAATGTTGATAGAGGCTCTAAGAGGTCTGGTGCCAAACAAGCCCTTCCTGACGCTGTTTACCTTTTGAGCAGTGTCCGCTCCAAAGGATTTGTTTTAAAGTTAATCAATACAGCTTTCGGCGACAACTTAACAATCTAAGCTAACCTAAAGCTAAGCTAAAAGAAACTGTTTTGTTTTTTGATTTGGTTAATTAGATTAAAACAATTCGAATGAAGTATTATCAGGGTCTAAACTTTCCAAGACCTTGTTAATAAAAATAATGGATTAAAAAAACAAAACTATGAAATGAGAATTATATTCCGCTAGTAAATAAACCGTCTACGTGTTCTAAGGAATTAAAAAGGTCTTACAATCGTCACGGTCAACGAATTCCAGTATCTGGTTCTACCCCCTTACACATCCTCTTTCTTCTCGGTCGTGGCTGTCAAAGGAAGACTAGACTCTAACTCAGTTCCCACTGTCTGGTCGACCTCTGCTGGGGCAGTTTCTAGGACTGGGGCTGGTACTCCTTGAGTCCTCGTGTAGCTCTTCGCCACGTCCTAAACAAAGCCGGAAAGGAGAAAGGAGGTACATTACGGTTTAGCTTACAAAAGGCCGTTCTGTCTGTCTGTCTGTTTGTCTGTTTCTCTGTCTGTGTTTCTCTGTCTGTCTGTCTTTTTGTCTGTCCGTCTGTTTGTCTGTCTGTCTGTCTGTTTGTCCGTCTGTCTGTTTCTCTCTCGGTCTGTCTGTCTGTTTGTCTGTTTCTCTGTCTGTTTCTCTGTCTGTCTGTCTGTCTGTTTGTCTGTCTGTTTGTCTGTCTGTATGTTTCTCTCTCGGTCTGTCTGTCTGTCTGTCTGTGTGTCTGTTTCTCTGTCTGTTTGTCTGTGTGTCTGTTTCTCTGTCTGTCTGTCTGTTTCTCTGTCTGTCTGTCTGTTTGTCTGTTTCTCTGTCTGTCTGTCTTTCTGTCTGTCTGTTTGTCTGTCTCTCTGTCTGTCTCTGTCTGTCTGTTTGTCTTTGTGTTTGTCTGTCTGTTTGTCTGTCTGTCTGTCTTTTTTTCTGTCTTTTTGTCTGTCTGTTTGTCTGTCTCTTTGTCCATCCTTCTCTCAGCCAGAATATACAATTGCTCTGAGTTTATATAAGGGGCAACATTACTGAATTGTGATTGATCAAGAGAGAGGGCATTTTTTCTTAATTTTTGTTATTGCCCCGGGCAAAATCACTTGAAAATGATTACCTGAAAATCGCTTAGCAACGGCTGCCAAGGTAAATAAATTTCTGTTTGTTTTGTAACAATGGCGTCCCGTTTTGCGCGAGATCAGTAAGAAAACATTTTGCCCCTTATATTATGCCTGAGTCGTTGCGCGACTCAGGCAATTTCAGCAACTTCCGAAAACACGCGTGATATTAATCCTTAATTTTACGAGGAACCATGTGATTACCTATACTAATTCAGTTTGTCTGCTGTAAAACATTGACGAAGCTTACCTGTATAAAGTTTGGAGCAGGATTCTCCAGACCATGAGCCGCGCTCAGCGACAGATTCTCAGCAGGTCTGATGTAATGTTGCAGGATGAAGAAATAGAACAGGACTGTGATGACTGGGAGCGGAAGGATTAAGACTGATGCAGCGTAAGACTGCTTCAAACCTATCACTCCAAACATCAGAAGCTGAAACACCACTGTTGCTATAATCATCCTATAAAAATGAGAGAAAACTGGAATCATTACTATCCCAAAAAAGGAGTTTTGAGCATGCAGAAATATGTTATGCGTTCTCTTTAGGTCAACACACGAGATTTCAGAACTGAGGCTGGGTTCTGGTTCGAGCACTTATTAGGTTCGCCTAGGTTCTCAAGCTGCCGGTATTGATTTTCTGAAAAAAAAATTGCAAGCGGGACTCATTGGGTTTGTTTTCTATACCTGTTAAAAACCCTAGGCCACATCATACCACCACAGCTGTAGACGGGGATGTAAACACTCAATGTCTGGTGCATCCACACAATGTAACCAAACCCAAAGTACAACGCAACGAATGGAGTTATAATGGGCGCCAGCGTGGAGTAGGACAGGCCCACGATCAGAATAAAAAGATGGTTGGCGAACTGGAAATGAATGAAATGGGACACAAAACCAATTGGTTTAATAAATAAATGAAGGAATGTGGTTCAAAGACCGTAAATCAGATCTAACGATCTCACGCTTTGAGAACTTTAGACAGTCTCTCTTCAGGATCCCACTCTTACAGAAGAAGATAAGTCATGTTTCAGGTCTCAAAGGGTCAGCATCTGACACGGTGTATTCCTCGTGTGTTTACGAGAGAATTGTGCACTATTTTGACTTGATACACGTGTTCAGGAAACAAATAGCTATAAATGAAAGACGCGTCCTTTAAATAAATTTCATTGCTAATCAATCATTATCATTTCACTGCCCTTGCAAAGCGGCAATTTACAGATAATGCCCTGTTACCCGGCGTCAACTCTGAGGAGACAAGGTTAAAGTGACGAGAACATCGCTCAAAAGCACACTTTCTCGTCCACGTTTAGCGCTTGCCCCATGTTTTGCTCTTAATGCAGCCTCTCGCGCTTGCAATAATTCGGTATTTCATGGCTATCATGTGAAACCAAACTGTTTCCACTTTACGGGGTTACCATATTTTTTTAAGTATGGGTCGTCGCTAAATCGCTTGACATGGGAGTTTAGTTACCATGCCATAGAACATAAGCAAGTAGCGGATCTTTTACCGGGATAGAGACATTGATTGGCAAATAAAAAATTTTGTGGCACCAGGTTTACGAAAAGTAGTATGTGACTTCAAAAGATCTCTGCCTTACATCTACATGTTTTATGGTTAACTTACCACTCGATCATAAAGAATTGGTGGTGGTTTCCAGGCCAACTCGTCCTCACGAGGTGTCTTTACAAGCCACTTACGCTTGATTGACACCAGAATGAGAGGCACTATGCGCAATAACTGCAGCGCATAACCAGTCAGTGTGGCCAGCATGATGAAACAAATGAAGAAGGTGGACTGCGAGGGGAGAGCTTCAGCTAAAAATGATGGAATCTGGCTTGGTTTATCTGCCATTTCTTTCAGTTTGTTTAGAGCTGAGCCAGCAAAAGTCAAGAATAGGAACTTGTTCACGAGCTGCCAATATAATAAGATATGGAGTCAGAGGGACCGGTAGTTATTTATCACGAGGGGGATGGAGGGCGGAGGATTTTGGTTGTTGATTTGTTAACTTGATGCCCCCATGAGGCTCTGTCAGTAATATTTTTCTAACCTCCCATCCCCCCTCTAATTAGCAATCTATTTTTCTATGGCCCCCCTTTCTTCTCTGATGACGACTGTTCCCCCTTCCGTTCCATGTACCATGTGATCCATAAACCGAGGGACCCCCCAGAATCCTTCACCCACCCCACCCCCCTCATTTAGTAATTGTTCAGGTAAAGTTGAGTGTTCCATTGTTAAATCATATTGATTCATAGTTATTCACAACATCTAAGTTCCAAAAATATCTCTGCGAGTCCTCTTATGCCATGCAAACGAATATTATAACATAACCAAAGTAAAGCGCGCGCTCTGATTGGTCAATTTAGCAACTTCCCGCGTGCATCCATAACTCAATAGTGTACGCTGTGGTGTTTACCATTTGTTAATTGCAATATGTACATGACGATAGAAACTTTGAGAGGTAGTTCTAGTACGTGTGAAGTGACAAAAATTATATTCAAAACATAAATTATTTTAGTCTGAGTTGGCTAATAGTTCCCTAATCCGAGAGTTTCCTTCAGAGCAAATTAACATTAGAAACTTAAAGACATTTTTAATCTAATAGCATCGTTACCATGAAAATGTACAATTTTCCCAGCGTAGATCTGTCCACTTCACTTTGGGACGGTATTCCTTCCAGTTTGCTGAACAGCTGCAGGACCTAACATGGAACAGGCAAGCACATTTTTTATATTGTTCTTAAAGATATGCTGAATCTATCATCTTGTTCTAATTCCATGTGTACGCGTTCTATAAACCAATCACTGTCGAAGTTTTCCACCGATCAAAATCCATCCATCAGTCGATCATTCAATCAGTCAGTGAGTAACTGAGGTAGTCAGTTGAGCTGTCAGTCAAGTTATGAGTGACGGAGCTAGCGAATTGGTCAATCAACCAGCCAGCCATTGAGTAAAAAAAGTGACATTGTCTATACTAACCAAGGGCAAAATGGCGAAGAAAATTATCAATGCTAGACCTGACAAGAAACCTTCAATGGCGCCTTTCACAAATGAGCTTAGTTCCAGCACTAGACAGAAAGAAAAAGAAACAAGTACCCAAGGTCAACAAAAACATGAACAAGCAGTTGATTAAAACAAAATGGTAAATAATGTCACGTACCAGTCATCATCATTTTAAGACAATGGCTTCAGAAAAACGTAATAAAAAGTTGTTTTCATTTTCAATGTTCAGGTTCAGTGTAAACAAAGTATGTTATTTTCTCTTGTAGTATCTTGTCGAAGACTTCTATCCGGCAGTTTTGCCAAAAACTGATTGCGAATATCATTCCAACAGCCCCTTGAAATTATTTGATTAGGAAGACCCACCTGGTTTTAAAAATGGCGCGATTTTTGTCAGATTCTGTAGCTCAACCAGAGTTGATACGAATGCGACAGGAACAGTCCAGAAGAACACCAACAGGAACACGAGGGTGTAGATCAAAACTGTGCGTAGTTTCCTGTTTAGCGGAGGATCATTATAGAAGGAAAATGTCACGAACCAAAATCAGTACTGAACAGAATGTGACAAGAGTCTGAAGAGGCATGGAATAATAGAAAGTTATACTAAGAACTGTCTTGATCTCAATGAACCCTTAAAGCCTCGACACCCTCGGTGAAACTTAGGCACACTTGAAGGAGATGTAATATCAAGTAATGAACCTGTAACCCTATCCCCACGACATTTCGTTCAATTTTATATCGGAACACTGGCTGCAGTGTTTTCTTGCACAAGAACTGTAGATGCACGATACCTTTCCCACAGACCAATGGAAAGATTAGTCCACAGAACACTTGTCAGTTCTGGAGCTGGCATGACGTCAACGGCCAAAGGAGAGTTATCCCAGTCAGCTTGATTCGCCAGTGTTGATGATCGGAGAGATCGGAACACAACGAAACTGCTGGGAAGGAGAGTGTGTTTCTTCTCAGTTTCAGCGTCTAGTTTGGCCTGTGCAGTCTGGAAAGATTACAATGGAACTGTTAGAGACTCGCGTAGAAGAAAATGTATCATCTATGGTAACAGTGGAAGAACTAAAGAGGCGAGGACGGACTCGTTCTCGCACCAGCATTGTACAATATGAAAGGGCTGCTGGGAAGTAAAAAGAGGAATCGCCTTCCTCAGGCTCTCACTTTCTCCCTACCCATCACACCTTGCGTTCCCGTCCCGCCTGCGTCGGTTGGTGAACTACGTCGATTTATTACATCACGATTAGAAGTTTCAAACCAAGAATTTAAAATTCTTACCTCTAGCTCAGCCCCATACTGGGTGATGGAGTCGAATTTCGTTCCGCAGCAAATGAACTTCTTGTGCGTCGGTCTTTCTCCGCTTTGCTCGAACACTGCCTGCAAAAAGTTAAATATATTGTAAAATTCACGTCCTCGGCAAAAGTTTTATCGTGAAATCATTCGTGATCCCGAGGGGGGGGGGAAGGAGTATTTGACCGCATTTAGGAATGATATTTTGGCTGTTTTTTATCAATTTCTCTTTTAAAAAAATGGGCCGCATGCACTCCTTATCTCTTCTCAATGCCACGCCCTTGCCCTGCACCCTCTTAACTAAACAGAGGTTTTATCGGGATAGCAAAGCATGAGAGCCTTAAATGACGGTCCACTTTTTTAAAGATCAGCTTTTCTGTCAGACTCAAGTCTGTCGTTACTCTTCTTAATGCAATTTAAGCCGCAATATGAGTTCCACTTTCGTCCCCTCCACCTTCTTCTCTCTCCCTCTCCTCCCTCCCCGGCCTCAGCTTCACTTCAAGTGTTTGTCCCAGTCTCCTTATCCTGATCTCCTGAAACCCTGAATCGAATCTCTGTCAAGAGTAGTAACATGGCCACGCCCATTATGGCGTGAAGGGCAGACTTCTGGCGTGTAACCCTTAAAGATTGCACACCAGCATTTGACTTAAACTTCCCGTCCACTAACAGGATAGCTTAACTTACAGATAGAAACCAAACTATCGAAAACTTACTTTTGCATGCTCTAGCTTCCATTTCAGAGCATCCCGCTCATTAACAAGCTCTTGCCACTTTTTCAGGTCTTCCACAATTACAACATCTTCCACCTGAAAACCAAAAAGAAAGCTTTGCCTTTCCAACAAATTCTGACCTAGTTCGGTTCGAAATCAATGGAGACATTGAGAACGAAAACTACGTTACCTCATCAGGAAATAATTCTTCCACGTGGCCCTTCAAACTTTCGTAATCCTTGAACTAAAAATAAATTAAGAAAATTAAACATGAAAATGGGAAAGGTCGAAGAGGTGCTCTCGCAGTTACCATAAATGCTCTAATAGGCCCCCCCCGGTACTTCGGGGGGGTGGTTTATTAGAGGGGGGAGCTTAATAGAGGGAGCGTATTAATTCAGGACTCAAAAAAGAACTCAATGCTATGATGTAACTCTCTCAATGGACCTTGTTTAGCCATATTATCTTTATAGCATCGCTCTGTAATTTCCGTATACCGTATTCTATTGATGCCAACATGATAACACCAATCAATCACCACAATCAATTTTAAATGACAATCAAAATTACAATACTTTGATGAATTTATCGCACTTACTGACATGCAGTGTTATTTTGAATTTTTGTTTTTTAAGGAGGGGTGGGAGGACGTAATAAATTTCTTCCTCTAAAGAGGAGGGCTTGGTAGAGGGGGTTGGCTTGGTAGAGGGGGGTGGCTTATTAGAGGGGGGTTTATTAAAGGATTTACGGTAATACTTCGGCTAATTTCGATCTCTCCCACAATCCCTCGGAGAGTAAATACCTCGCCTCAGTACATTCACAATATTTGGCAGGTTAAAACGGCGAACGAAATGTGTAAGAAAATAAGAAGCTCTAATTCGTTCAGGAACTACTCGGGATTGATGGACCAAAATGGCAAGGAGGTTCAGGCAATGGCTGACATACGTTCGTAACTAATGACACCGCGTTTTAGACACTCATCGAATTGTACGGCTACAACTGCTGAAAATATCTTTATATATATTTTTAAAGAGTTGCTTCATATGTTGCTTCATCACGTACGGCTAGGGAATAGGGTGTGACAATCGAGACACCCATGATTAAATCACACGAGTGAATGAAACGCGAAACAAAAGCCTTGCCTTAGGCTATTTAGAAAAACTTTACTTTCCTTGCGAAAGTTTCCTTTGCAGTTTGAATCTGCCGATCAATATTTACTTCCCCTTGGTCACAAAGGCTTTTGATATTTTCCCGTAAATTTTGGCTCAAGAATTGGACGAACTTTTATTAGTGTTCAGGTGCCACTTTTTTGTGTTCGACACACGTGTTCATCATAAGATGTCCATCAACTTTGTTAAACACACCACGCATTAATTATTTTCTGGACATGCTAGTTTTTAAGTTGAAGGATCAGTTTAGGAACCATATTTTATTTTCATCTCCTCGACTGTTTTTGGTCTGTCTCGCAAACAGATATCTTTTCCCCGTTGCGCGCAAAATACGTGTAACACCAGATTGTTACGCTACCTGTATGTAACGCAACACGCACCACATTAGCATTTTTCTTTCCAACTGCTTCTCATTCATTATTTATGACAAAGTTAAACCTTTTTTTTTTATCAGCTGCTCGCTCGCTGTATACGCATGCCGTTTCAAAATCGATTGTCATTTTCAAGATATTTTGAGACAAATCTGGGTCATCGGTGGTAAGGAAAAAAGATAAAGTAAAAATGCGAAGTATTCTGAAAGCCTTACCTTTTCTGGCAAATCTCTAACCAACACAGCATACTGATAGCCCATCCCTTTATTAAGATACTGTTGTCGGTACACGATAAATGCTTTCCACTCCGTATACAAAAGGTAGCAGATAATCAAAGTGTACACCCAGGCGGCTACAGTGTGAGCCCAAACTTTGGACGACTTGGGGACAATGTTAGACAGTGCTATCTGTTCCAGGCCGCTGAGATCTCCTCCACCGAAATAATTTACGGGAATCAAAACAATTATTCCATACGGCATAAGAACCAGGGCGATCTTAAAGCAGAGCTTCATGAACCGCATATGAACCACCGCATCAATGCCCGCGTAAAGGAAAACTTCGTCATCCTTCACAGTGAAAGCGGGAAAAAGCCACGAAAAAAACGATTGGGGACGTTTCCCAGGCGCTAACGTGTCTATCAAGAGCTGCCTTGGCGCGTAAATAATTTTGTGCTTCTGTCTTAGAATGCAAAACAATATCAAACATATCAGGGCTATAATCAAGTTGAGAATAAGCGCTGAAATAAACTTGCTTGTACCGTCTGCTACTACATCATTCACCGTATCATTGCCGCTAGCGCTGTCATTCGCCATTTTCGCCGTGGTATTCTTCACTGTGATCTTGTAGCTACACCCAGATTGCGAGGTAAAGCTTCCTGAGTTGTACTAAATTTCATGCGTGGTCGAATGGCGCTAACAGTCATTCAAATGATCAAACGTCAAACATCCAATAGAGTTTTCAGATTTCGTGATCACGTGGAGTCTGGCGGAAACGACAAGACCAGTTTACACAAAGGAATACGCCCGTTGGGCGATCTGGCGCATTCTGTCTCCTTCTACATGACAAACAAGGTTGTTGGCGTCATTAGAAATTCATTACAACCGGTAACTGATTCAATTAAGTACACACTTTTGCAAAAAGAAAACACAAATAAATTTATTCGGGTCGATGAACGCTTCGAGTCAACTCTGACGCTGGCGGACCAAACAGCGAGACAAGATGAGATTTGCAAAACAATCGTAATCAAATTTAATAACACACGAAACGCAGATCTTTCCAAACGTTCCTTGACTATAACAGAAGACCACGTTGACGATGCGTACGTGAATAATCATCAATCCAGATAGTTCGAGAGGGTTTCAGTAACTAATCGTATCTTTAGGATGTAGATTTTCTGTCGCGTGACTTCACTACAGAAATACAATTATTGAATTTCGTGAAAAGATGTTGACAGATGCATCGACGCAGAACTAATCTGGAAGGAACTAGACACATCAACTGTCAATACGTTGCACGTTTGCACAGTTTGTAAATGTTAATACTAGTTTCTTTAAATTTTCACACAGTTTTTTAATCATTTCTATATTTAAATAAAAATTTATGTTTAGATCACAAAAATATGAAGCTCATTGTTTTTATCGTTATTTAGGTTCTGTGAATGCTCATATTGATTCCTGAAAAGCTAACACAATATTATACATCACGCACCTTAATGTTAAAGTAATTCTGACTTTGGTAAGTTCCATAAGTTAAAACTGGTGTTTTTGAGTGTAATCAATTGTTAAAACAATCCTCACTCATACCAATTTACAAATAAAATTGCTCCGTGTAAAATTTAAATTTAGCACATTTTGTTTAATTCTGACAGACATTAATCCCTTATTGTAATTTGGTGCTTTTACCTAATCTACCAAAGACAGTCACACTAGTTGAGACCGACTATTCGCAGCGCAAGTTTCATCTCGTTGACCCAAAGAAAAAGTGCAACATAAGCTGAATCTTTGCCATTGATAAAAGCCCCTCTCTTCCCCTGATTGTTTAGGATCAGTCGAACTCATTGTTAACCGACAACATACATGCAGTTCATTTAATATGTACATGCTGAAAATTTTTTGCGGCAAAAATTTTGATTGTCGTCGATGTACGATAATTTCACCTTAAAATGCATATGACACGAAATTTTTTTCTCGTTTCTTGTTGTTGGATATCTATAGAAAACGTTTCGAAGCCTTAAAAGTGCTGGAATCATCCAAAAAGAATTTTTTTGCTTTCAAAATACGCGCAATTTGCCTTCAAATTTGTCCCGGTCATGGCGCGGCCAAAATCGCACGTGACGTCACATTGTGTACCCAGATTCTTCGAAGTCAATGGAACTTTCAGAAGAGTCGGACTCAAAGGAATCATTAGAATCACTGGACATCTGTGCCTTTCAACACACTATCTATCTACTACGAAGTACTGCAGAATTCTCTCAGCGACAACAGACCTTCGTGGCAAAGGTACAAAATGTGACGTCACCCGTTAGCTCAATTGATAGAGCGCTGGACTGATGTGCGGGAGGTCGAGGGTTCGAGCCCCGGCCGGACCAACACTCAAGGTCTTAAAATAATTGAGAAGAATATGCTGCCTTTCTATAACATCAAGAAATGGTTTAGATATTCTAGTCTTCTCGGATAGGGACGAATAAATGGAGGTCCCGTCTCCTGCAGGGTTAGGGGTAGGAGACGTTAATTTCGCCACGCACGAGATTACTGTGTGATGGATGTCCTCCCCTGGGGTGGGATGGGTGGGTGTTGTCTTGCGATTATATGAGCCTTTGGCTCGGGCAACCATGCCCCACGCAAAGACATTTAACTTGATTACAGGAAAATAACTTCGACGGCGATAAACTAGGTCCCAGTCTCCGGGACAAATTTGAAAGCAAATTTTTCGTATTTTGAAAGCAAAAAAAATGCTTTTTACATTTTCCCAGCACTTTTAAAGCTTCGAAACGTTTCCTAGAGATATCCAACTACAAGAAACAAGAGAAAAAATTTCGTGTCATGCACTTTAATCCCTGGCGTGTGACACACCATGGATGATAACAAAAACATTAGTAATGAAAATCATTATTGTAACGGTAATAATGATAATAATAATAATAATAATAATAATAATAATAATAATAATAACAAAAACAATAACAATAACAATACCACAATAAACTTACCACATGTCTAAAACACTAACAATTTCTAACAGTTTACTGGTTTGAATATGTCCACACCGCAACTAAAAGGTTCATGGGAGTGTTACACTTCACCTTAAAAGGTAGTTATGTTTACATTGAATAACAATCCTAAAACTCCAACCTATTACTAGTATTGCTGCCCTATTCTGTTATCACGTCATGTGAAGAAAATTTCCGATCCTCAAGAGGATATCCCAGCATTCTACACAAGCTCTTCGCTCCTACAACTTCCACCAATGGAGTGGCTTGGCGTAATCTCAGTCGATCTATCTTCGTTTTCGTAAGCATAATCCCCGCCATTCATGGGTGACGAACTAAGGCCGTACGTCGATGGCAGACGGTTGTTTCTGACATAACTCTGCGCAACTTCCTGTGATAAAAGTTAAAATCGTGTATTGGAGAAGTGTTTAATCCAGTGTGGAAAGTCTCCCGGGAGTCAGCATCGGTTGCGTGATACTACGCTGTGATTGGTCAAGAAAATTTGCGCCAACCTCCCTGCAATCCAATGCAGGACAAGCGATTCGCAGCTGGGGAGCTCGCGTTTTCTTGCGTTCCAACAGATCGCTTTTTATTACTCTTATTTCTCACTGAATTACTTCGAATTCTCGTGATATTTTCCTTCGTTTTTAACCTCTTGACCCGCAAGAGTGACTGGCATCTAATTTCTCCTTACAATATCACCCTCTGAAACAAACATTAAAGTCACAAGAATATAGAAAATGATCACTAACTGAAGCTCTTGATTGTTAAACAAATTCTCCTTGCCAGCACCAAAGGAAATGTATAGAGAACAGTATGGAGAATATGCATCCTGAAGTTAGGGTGTAAAGGGAGAAATAACCCTTGTGTCTACTTCTTTTTTTGGTTTACAACCTCAAGTCGAATTGCGCCCCATGATAACTTAAATGACTGCCCCTTACCATGTAACACAGACGGACGCCACACTGACCTGTAAGAAACGCGGACTCGCTTCTGCCAATCCCGACGCCATGTTAATAGACAAGTACATTGAAGGTTTCAAACAATGCTGCTGGATGAATAAGAAAAACAGGATCGTGATAACGGGAAGGGGAAGCATAAACCCCGCTGCAATGAAAGACTCCTTCAAGCTTAGCACTCCCGTCATTAGCAGATGGAAGACGATCATCCCAGCGATTATCCTGCAAAAATACAAAACAGAACCAATCTAACCACAACCCTTCATTTAAGTAGACCTTGTACACAGTATGACAGGCCAGCGAGTTCTTTTCAGTTCATTCTGCACAGCGTCAGAGTGGACCAAATTTTTTTTTAGTTCAACTGAAGCATGAAAAGTGAGATCATGAGAGGGAAGTAAACTGCTCGGGATATCTAAATGGCGATCGATCCCGACATACGCATATCCCCCGTTTCCTCGGGTCCAGTCTTTCATCCTACTGAGCAGGGAAAGGAGCGCGGGCTCATTTCCTGAACAGTGGCTGGTAAATGAGCCCATCCATGAACTTAACTCACCTGTTGAAAACTATTGGCCACATCCGCCCGCCAGTGCTATACACTGGGATGTATACACAGAGTACCTGGTGCATCCAGGCAATGTAACCAAACCCGAAGTACAAGACAACAAACGGAGTTATGAGAGGAGCGAGGACTGAGTACGAGATGCCCACGATCAGAATAAACAAGTGATCTTTGTACTGAAAAAAAGAGGGTCGATGATAATTAGTTTAATAACTGTTTAATGGTAACGAATGACATGTTACATAAGTCTATACCGACACAAGTCCACGACCGGAGACCAAGCCATGTTTGAGCTATGTTTGAGCTATGTTTGAGCCTATGATTGAGATGTTTGAAATCAAAGTGATACACTGACCCATGTCCGCCTGGAAAGGACAGGAAGAAACCTCCAGTTACCCTTCACTATACGCTTAAAAGTCGAAGCTTATGTACAAGAAAGATCGAGATATCCCGGTTGCTGTATCAATACACTAGACTGTTTGAAACGCACATCGAAATCTGAAGTGTTTGCATACTTTTTGTTAAGGTAACGCTCGCTTTTAACTCTGCAATTCATACGACCACAATTAAGACATAATCCCGAGAAGAGAAATACGCAAAACCTAAAAAAAAGCGACTAGAACTCGTTTATACGACAAAAATTTTACTGTCCAAAGATAAGCGAGCAATCACGAGCAAAAGGAAACAAAAAGAACAGAAAAAGGCACACATGCATTACTGAAGGAATTTATAAGCTACAAAATAGTTAAAAAAATTATTAAAAAAACCCAAAAAAATACAAAATTTCTCCACGCGCACCACAGAATTTTTCCAAGTGTTGACAGTACGATAGTTGTCAACCATTTTCCTCAGAATCAGAGAAGAATGATCAAAGGTTATCAGAGCTGCTAACAGTACGAAAGACTCTTGAGAAAGTTAAGAGAAAATTCTAGTTAAGTTTTAAACAATACATACCAAGCGATCATACATGGCATGGGGTGGTCTCCAGGCCGCCTCGTCTTCTCTTGGAGTGTGACAAAACCACTTCCGTTTAATTGGGATGATGATGAGATAAAAAATGCGCAGAAGCTCGAGTGACGTCCCAGTCAGACCACGCAACATGATGTAACAGATGAAAAACGTGGCCTGGGCCGGCAACGACAGAGCCAAGTATTGCGGTATTTCCTCTGGTTTTCTTAGTATTTCTTTGAATTGGCTGAGAACGGCTGTCCCGGCGGACAGGAAAAGGAATTGATTGACAATCTGTGGAAGCACAACAACAATACAGTTATTTCCATTAATTCAAGGGTCGAAAACAATCTCAGATGGCTCGGTTTTGGTTAAACAACCTGGGAGAAGCTGTTGTCCAACGGTTACCGCGCTGGACTCCTGATCATGGGGTCTGGGTTGGAGACCGTTTTTAGGCACGGCACTTTAAATTCTTTCACAGTATCTCTCTCCTTCTGGGTGTCGGTAAACTTCCAGGAAAGCCTGCTGAAATGCTGGGGGCGGGAGAGGGGGCGGGGGCGGGGGAGAAGGGATGTGGGCAACACACCTACTGTAATCGCTTCCTGCTACAGAAATGGGAAGAATAGTCCATTTTACAGTTGTGTGCTTGGTTGCCAAGCCTTTGAATGGGAGTGAGGCTGAGGGTGACCTTGTTATGATACAAACCTTGCTGCCTTTCAAATGTAAATCACTTTGTTATCATGCTAACTAGAAACAGGTCTCTATCATGACAAGGTCACCTTCAGCCTCACTCCAAATCAAAGGCTTGGCAACAAAGTACACAACTGTAAATTGGCCTATTCCAGCTGAATTGGCTGGCTAATTTGCCCCTTGGTTCGAGTGCAGACTTTATACAATCTCTTTACCTTAGACAGCGAAAGCTCAAAGGCAAACAGGATCACCAACTCAAAGTTAGAAGCATTCAAATTAAAGATTACAAAAAATGACAAAAAATAATTTTTTAAAAAAATATTACCACAAAAATGAAGAGTTTTCCCAGTACAGATTTGTCCACTTCACTTTGCGAAGCGAGGCCCTCCAGCTTGGCAAGCCTCTCCAGAATCTGAAAAAAAGGAGAATCCTTACTAAATAACCTGAAACAACCAAATGAGGAAACGTTAGCCAATTCAAGTTGGCAATTTATCAAGAGTGAGAGAAAGGTTGGATCATTTGTTGGTGTACTGCACACAGGAGAATAAAATGGGTATCGAGAAATTGTCAAGGGCATTGGATGAATAGCTTGAGGGAAGGAGGGGGGAGGGGGTCAATTGGCCATGTACAAGAACCCTTGGGGGAGGGGGAGAAATTGTCAAGGG